TGCAAAGTAGTCTGCATAACAAAAAAAATTCTGAATTAAAAAGCAAAGGTAATATAAGAGGAGGCTGAGATAGTGGACTGATGAACAGAGGAAAATGTTACTTTAAAGCCAGAAATGTTGCATTGTTCATTTGGACCCAATTTTGGAAATTGGCATCTTTTTTTATTTGCGTGAAATGGCCAAATAGCACAAATTTTGACACTTTTATAAAAAAATAGGGAAGTTGAAATTGTAAATGGGTGGTTTCTTGTTACTCAATAGCTAGAAACAAAGGAGAGGTTCCACAGAAATAGCTCTTAAGTTAGGTTGACTGGGAATAGTAGAGTTGGCAGGAAATAGGTCTTCAAAGTGGGCAAAATCGCTGATGCGGGCGTAAATATTATCGCCTAGATCGCTTACCTTCACAGAGCGAAATTCCGTGAGTTTTTGATCAAATTTGTACTTTTGGTGTCATTACCATGGGGCGAAAAGATTCTCTGTCATGGTATAAAGAAAATAAATATTTTTTTTTTTTTTTAAATCTTCGACACAGAGCAAGTCTGTGGGGCACAGGTTCTCGACCGACGTCAGGAGGGTTAAATGTGATTTACATGCAGAAAAGAATGACAAAATATATTTTAAAGCATATTTAACAGTATAAATGAACATTTAACATGACACTTACCTTTATTGACGACTCTTGTTGGTGTATGGAAGACAGGGAGGAGGGGGAGAGGGAGGACCTATTGTTTGGAAGGGGAATCCCCTTCCATAAAGACTTAAGGTACCAAGTCCTTATCTGGGGCTACTTCCCTTCTTTATTTTTTAATGGCACTAGGACCAGCTTGAGAGTCACTGGACCCCTGTCCCACAAAATATTGTTCCAGAGAGCTCTGTTTCTCTCTCTTTAGGATTTGCCTAAAATGGGACATGGCATTGTCGTTGTACATGTTGTCGACACTGCTTGAAACAGCTTTGCACCATACTTCACATTGGACAAATCTCCTTAATCTCTGAAGAAGGCACCTTCTTCCATCTTTCTTCCTCCTCCTCTGAAGCAATTTCCTCAGCTGTGTTCTGTTGCTGTTGCAGATGAAGGTCTTGCAGCTCTTTAGTGGTTAGCTCTTCACTGTGGTCCTCCATCAACTCTTCCACATCCTGCCACTCACACTGAACTCCATGGAATTCCCCAATGCCACAATAGATTCCACAACAGGTGTAGGGTTGACAGAGTTAGCCCCAAACCCTTCAAAATCATTGTCGAGGACACATTGTGGCCACAAGTTCCTCCAAGCAGAGTTCATTGTCCTGCAAGTCCCTCCCTCCCAAGCCTTATCTATAAAGGTTATGCAATTGAGGATATTGAAGTGATCCTTCCAGAACTCTCTTAGGGTCAATTCAGTGTCCGAGGTCACATCGAAGCACCTTTGAAACATTGTTTTGTTGTAGTTTTTTTTAACCCCTTCAGGGTCCAAGGACAAAATCTGAAGTGGTGCCCCAGTGTCCAAGAATTTTCCCCAAAAAAATTTTTTTATTTTTTCTTATGAAATGGTAGTGAATCTTTTTGTGAAGGTAATAAAACAAAAAGTACGAAATTTGATGGAAAATTGACGAAATTATGCTCTCGCAAATTTTGATGTGTCAGCGATATTTACAAATCGGCGATTTTGCCGACTTTGACTCCCATTTTAGGTAAATTACATCATTCCAGTCGACCAAATTCTTAGCTATTTCACTAGTATTACCTCTGTTCTATCGATTGAGCATAAGAAATCGCCAAGTCAACTGTTTCAACTACAAAATAAAGTGATCGGAAATTGGTAATTTGGCCAATTTAACACAAAGTTCAAAAAATTCCAATTTCAAAATAGCATCCAGAATAAACAATGTAGGCATTCCTGGCACTAAACTAACATTTCCTCTGTTCATTAGTTACATTTTGAGGCTTTACAAATAAATCCCATTTTGATTTTTTATTCACATAATGAATTTTTATTCACACCAAAAAATAGAAGATTTACTGTTATGCAATATTGTAATAATTGTATAAATATCATCACCACATTTGTGAATGTATATTAGACCCACCAGCTGGCGTGTATTAGACGTGTGAGGTCGTTTGTTTACTCTTGAACATCGGCAAAAATTTAACATTTCCACTACTTTGAGCTCAGTTTCAAGCCATTTCTAGTGCTAAAACCAATCAAAATCATCTCTATTTCTGTAATATGTCTTCTATTCTATCAAATGAGACCAAGAAATTTCAAATACAACTATAAAAAACATACGAAAAAACACTGCAAAGTTGCTGTTTTAATCAAAAATCTTGGTTTCAGTTTTTTCTCTCATTATACACAGTGTGCTGCAGGATTTGTTTTATGTGGTGCACACATACCACATAGTTGTATTCTCTCATATCTAGGCCCAAGTGTGCCACTCACAGTTTATCAGAGTGAGCTGAGCTCATGACGTAGATCTACGGTTTGGACCCTGAACATAAAGCCGTAGATCTACGGGACGGACCCTGAAAGGGTTAAGTTTGAAATGATCTGCTGGTCTATGGGCTGGATGAGAGGAGTGGTAATAAGGGGCAAGAACTTCACTGTGATGAAACTAAACTTCTCACACAATTGGTCATACAAGTCTAGGGGATGAGCAGGAGCATTGTCCATTATCTGGAGGCACTGGAGTGGCAATTTTTTTTTCCAGGAGGTATTTCTTCACACTCAGGCCAAATACTTCATTGAACCAATCAAGGAAAATTTCCCTCGTGACCCATGCCTTATTGTTAGCCTTCCACATCACACACAATTTACTCTTGGCAACACTGTTCTTTTTTAACACACTGGGATTTTCAGAGTGCTACACCAGAAAAGGCTTCACTTTTAAATCCCCACTAGCATTACCACAGAACAAGAGAATTAGCCTGTCTTTCATAGGCTTGTGTCCTGGCAGTGCCTTTTCCTCCTGCATTATGTGAGTCCTCTTTTGCATTTTCTTCCAAAAGAGGCCTGTTTCATCACAACTGAACACTTGTTGGAGGAGTAATCCTTCAACCTCTATGTACTCCTTGAATTCATGCACAAATTTTTCAGCTGCATATTTATCTGAGCTTGCTGCCTCACCATGTCTTACAACACCATGTATGCCACTACGCTTCTTAAATTTTTCGAACCAGCCTTTGCTGGCCTTCAGTTCACTAACATCAGCACTCATTCCAGGCATTTTCTTTACGAGATTGGCATGCAACTGCCTTTCCTTTTTACAAATTATCGACTGCACAAGACTATCTCCCACTAATTGTTTCTCGTCAATCCACACCAACAACAATTTCTCGACATCTTCGAGTGTTTGTGACCTCTGTTTTGTTATCATTTTTACCCCTTTCACAACATCACCTTCCTTGATTTCTTTTTTCTTCGCCACGATGGAACTGATGGTTGATGCAGGCTTGGCATACGTCCTCGCGATGTCAGCCACATGTTAGCCACTTTCATATTTTCCAATTTCTTTCTTTAATTCTATTGTGTTTCTCACCTTCTTTAACAAAGGGCTTGCACTAGCAGCTTTCTTTGGGCCCATGGTGGCGTATTTAGCAGTCAACACAGAATAAACAAGTTCATAAAACAATTATTACAAAATTCTCCTATGACCTTACAGGATAATGTTTACTCACTGAGAAACAAAGCGACACTGCCTCAGAATGCGTGTGTGGGAGGCTTTGTGTGCGCACAGCACTCAGACATGTACCGTACCACCGACAAGAATGGAGGAAAGTAATGAAAACTGAGCCAATATTTTTATGAAAAAAGTTGGCAATAACTGAAATTCACAAAAACAGAGCCTAACAAAAAGGGAGGGTCCACTGTACTGACACAGCTCTTCTACCTGTTACACATGCATTGCAATCAAAATCTTTATGGTGGTTAATAGTTTTCACATATATGGTTCTTGGCATACAGTCTTAAGTTTTAGTTTTATGCAATAAGGTCACAGTAAATAGGTGAAATCACAGTATGCAAAATAACTACAATTAAAAAAGTGAAATCCAAGTGCATTGATAAATTCTCACATGTGAGAAACTGCAAAAGTGCTTGGAATTTCACTATTTCAGTTTTATGTTTAGTTCTTAAATTTTACTGCGTTTTGTCAACGAGAAAAAAGACAATTAAGTATTTGGTTAGTTTCAAGTCACTATGACATTAATACACTCAGAGGTCTTCACTTGAGAACTGTTTTCCAAAAATTCCTGCTTTACTTATATGACACTAGCTTCTTGGCTCCAAGTTGGACAACGCTGACTCTTCCAGTACTTTCACCTGAAAGTATTGATGAAAGACACAAGTGTAGGAGTAGAAAGAGGGTTTGAGAAGACTAGGCTAATGCGTTTCTTATAGTATTGACCAGTTACTTGTTGATGATATGACCGACTGGTTCCCTTGTATTGTTTCAGTGTCAGAAGATATTAAAACTGAGGATTTGCCAAAATCAGAGCTGAAAAATATTTTAACAGGAAGCAGTGTTGCCAAACCTCAGTCCCAGTTGCCTAGTAAACAGATTCAGATGCAGCAGCAGGACCAGCAGAAACAACAAGAACAGAAACTTGAACAACAGAAACAGCAAGAACAGAAGCAACAAGAACAACAGAAGCAGCATGAACAACAAAAGGAGCAAGAATTACAGCAGCAGCAGCAACAACAACAACAACAACAACAACAACAACAACAACAACAACAGCAACAACAACAACAACAACAGCAACAACAACAACAGCAACAACAACAACAGCAACAACAACAGCAACAACAACAGGAGCAAGAGCAAGAAAAAGAAAAACAGCAACAACAGCTTCAACAAAAGCAGCAACTAGAACACCAGCAGCAGCTAGACCATCAAAAACAATTAGAGCAACAAAAACATCAAAAGCAGCAGCAGCAAAAATTACAACAACAGCAGCAAGATGAGCACCAACAGCAACTTCAGCAGCAGCAGCAGCAGCAGCAGCCAGCAGCAGCACAACAACAACAACAGCAACAACAACAACAACAACACCACCTACAACAGCAGCAGCAGTCACAACAGCTGCAACAAGCACAGCACCAACATCACCAACATCATCAGCATCACCAGCATCATCACCACCACCAAGATCAGCCACAGCATCCTTCCCACTCTATACCACAGACTCCAGAAGAGCATCTGCACCATCTTCAGTTACAAGAGCATTTAGAACAGCTTCAACATCATCATCATCTTCAACAGCATCATCATTCTCAACAACATCAACATCAGCAGCAACATGCACACTCAGGGACATCAATGGGTCATGCTGTGACTGGACTTCCTCATGCCTCTGTGTCAAATGGCTTTTCTGGTGATATGCCATTAGGTATGGCACAGTCATTGGTTCACAGCCTAGCAGGGATTGGTGCAATTGCTGGTTTAAGTGGCTTATCGAACTTAGGACCAACAGGCTTAGAGGGTTTGAGTAGTGCGGTGTCAGTTGGAATGTTACCTGGTCTTGAGGCGGTGTCTTCAAGTAATGCTGCTATGTCTGTGAGCATATCCTCTAATGCAGTACCATCACATAATCAAATGATGGCAAGCGGTCATGATTCTCAGCAGGATATCCCTTCACACCTGCCAGAAACCAGTTTAGCAGATTTAAAAGCAGCCGGTCTTGACACTAGTTTAGGTTATTTCCCTTCAGTGTCACAAGCACAAGGTGACCCATCTATGATGCATAAACAAACAGAAGAGGAGCTTCAGGCTGATGCCCAAGCAGCACTACAGAGAGAACATGCAGAGGCATCAGCACTTGCTACTTATTTAGCAGCACAGGACAAGAAAATGCATTCTTCAGCACCTGAAACTCCCAAGTCATCAGGTGGAGCCTCATTTAACAAACCTAAGCCAACACCTAAGAACCTAAGCTCGTGGTCTTCACTAGCCCAAAGTGCCGTCCCATCTCCTACTGCTTCGACCTCCCTCAAGACTTCTGCAAGTGATTCATTTGCTCAGTTCAAGAGAGTTGCAAAAGAGAAGGAAGCTAGGGTAAGTATTCATTTCATTCTTGTCAATATCTTCTGAATTTGTATATGAGATTTATAGTTTATTATTTTCATGATGCAGCAAAACTGATTTTGAATGTGTTGGTTATCAAGGAAGAGAGAGTTGTGAAGGTGAGTGATAAATGAAATTGAGATAGTTTGTCGAGATGAGTTTTATCTGTTTAGTGTTAATGGAGAAGTTTAGGTGGTACTGCAGTCATCATTGGGTCCCAGCAATACAACACAACATGAAATTGTAATAAATTTAGGACAGATAAGACATCATCTTGCTGGAAAAAATGCCTTGTGGTAGCAGGACAGATCCTGGTGGTGGTTCGTGTGTATTGTTGAGGAAGTTACCCATAAGTTACTGTGTACACCTTCCTGCTCATAGATTTCTTCTCAGGTGTGAGGAGAGGGTAGCCAACCAAAATGGCAGTGCATGGCAAATTTGAAGGAAAAATGATTTATGACATGTGACAGACAGCCAAATGTATGGTGTGCATCAGACACAGTTTGTAGATTACCAGTGATGTATCCTTGGACTGTATTTCTACAATTGTTGAACATGTTGGTGATTGATCATATCAAGGAAATTGTGGCAGAGGTAGAGTATGCATCTTCACTGAGGCTCAGCCATGACACCAGTTGACTGACCACATCACATGTTCTAGAGATGTCTCAGGTAGTGTTTATTTGGTTAATAAAATGAAGGATGGGTTTTGTCTTAGAGGGCTATATTCTGAAGGTGTTCTGCCCAACTTCCACTTAGTCCATTGTTTAAACATGTGAACATAGAGGACCAATTCTCAATATACCTGTTGGACCTATTGATCTATAGTGACAGAGACTTATAGTGGGGTTGAAGACCCTCATACCTCTGTCACTCTTTGTGACCAGACATAGAGACTAATATATTTTTATGAAACATTTATGTGACATTTATATATAAAACAAGGATTACGTGGAGTAAAATAAAGGTTGGATGTGAGAAGTGGGTTATAGTAAGTGTATATGCACCTGGGGAAGAGAGAAGTATAGAGGAGAGAGAGATTTTGGGAAATGTTGAGTGAATGCCTAGGGAGTTTTGAACCAAGTGTGAGAGTACTTGTGGTTGGGGATTTTAATGCTAAAGTGGGTAAAAATGTTGTGGAGGGAGTAGTAGGTAAATTTGGGGTGCCAGGGGTAAATGAAAATGGGGAGCCTTTAATTGAGCTATGTGTAGAAAGAGGTTTGGTAGTAACTAATACATATTTTACAAAAAAGATGATAAATAAATATACAAGGTATGATATAGCATGTAATGAAAGTAGTTTGTTAGATTATGTATTGGTGGATAAAAGGTTGATGGGTAGGCATCAGGATGTACATGTTTATAGAGGGGCAACTGATATATTGGATCATTATCTAGTTGTAACTACAGTTAGAGTAAGAGGTAGATGGGATAAGAGGAAAATAGCAACAACAAGTAAGAGGGAGGTGAAAGTGTATAAACTAAGGGAGGAGGAAGTTCGGGTGAAATATAAGCAACTGTTGGCAGAAAGGTGGGCTGGTGCAACTATGAGTAGGGGGGGGGGGTTTGAAGAGGGTTGGAATAGTTCTAAAAATGCAATATTAGAATGTGGGGCAGAAGTTTGTGGTTATAGGAGGGTGGGGGCAGGAGGAAAGAGGAGTGATTGGTGGAATGATGAAGTAAAGGGTGTGATAAAAGAGAAAAAGATACTTACTAAACAAAAGTGTTATAAGAGTAGAGTATGTGGAGAGTAAACGAAAGGTGAAGAGAGTGGTGAGTAAAAGAAAGGTGAAGAGAGTGGTGAGGGAGTGCAAAAGGAGAGCAGATGATAGAGTGGGAGAGGCACTGTCAAGAAATTTTAATGAAAATAAGAAAAAATTTTGGAGTGAGTTTAACAAGTTAAGAAAGCCTAGGGAACGAATGGTTTTGTCAGTTAAAAACAGAGTAGGGGAGTTAGTAGATGGGGTGATGGAGGTATTGGGTAGATGGCGAGAATATTTTGAGGAACTTTTAAATGTCGACAAAGAAAGAGAGGCGGTAATTTCATGCACTGGCCAGGGAGGTATACCATCTTTTAGGAGTGAAGAAGAGCAGGATGTGAGTGTGGGGGAGGTGCGTGAGGCATTACGTAGAATGAAAGGGGGTAAAGCAGCTGGAACTGACGGGATCATGACAGAAATGTTAAAAGCAGAGGGGGGACATAGTGTTGGAGTGGTTGGTATTTTTGTTTAATGTATGAAAGAGGGGAAGGTACCTAGGGATTGGCGGAGAACGTGTATAGTTCCTTTATATAAAGGGAAGCGCGACAAAAGAGATTGTAAAATTTATAGAGGAATAAGTTTACTGAGTATACCAGGAAAAAAGTGTACGGTAGGGTTATTATTGAAAGAATTAGAGGTAAAAGAGAATGTAGAATTGCGGATGAGCAAGGAGGTCTTAGAGTGGGTAGGGGATGTGTAGATCAAGTGTTTACATTGAAGCATATATGTGAACAGTATTTAGGTAAAGGTGGGGAAGTTTTTATTGCATTTATGGATTTAGAAAAGGCATATGAAAGAGTGGATAGGAGAGCAATGTGGCAGATATTGCAAGTATATGGAATAGGTGGTAAGTTACTAAATGCTGTAAAGAGTTTTTATGAGGATAGTGAGGCTCAGGTTAGGGTGTGTAGAAGAGAGGGAGATTACTTTCTGGTAAAAGTAGGTCTTAGGCAGGGATGTGTAATGTCACCATGGCTGTTTAATATATTTATAGATGGGGTTGTAAAAGAAGTAAATGCTATGGTGTTCGGGATAGGGGTGGGATTAAATTATGGGGGATTAAATACAAAATGGGAAGTGACAAGTTACTTTTTGGTGATGATACTGTGCTTATGGGAGATTCTAAAGAAAAATTGCAAAGGGGTTAGTGGATGAATTTGAGAGCGTTGTAAAGGTAAAATTTGAAAGTGAGCATAGAAAAGAGAAGCGTAGGGTACAAATATTTAGATAAAGAAAAATTGGATATAAAAGGGGGGGGGGGGGGAGTATAGGGAAGAAGTGAATTTTTTTCAATATTTGGGAGTTGACATGTAGCGGAGGATTATAAGAATGAGGTTAATCAAGAATTGATGAAGAAAAAAAGGGTGATTGTGCATTGATATATATGTGGAAGCAAAAAAGGGGGAATGTATGAAAATATAGTAGTACCAACACTCTTATATGGTGTGAAGCTTGGGTTGTAAATGCGCAGCGAGGAGGCTTTTGGAGGCGGGGAGAGTCCTGTCTAAGGGTAATATGGTAAATATTATGCAAAAATTTTGGGATGGGAATTGGGAAAGGGTATTAGTCAAGGGCTGAAGAGGGTTTGTTGAGGTGGTTTGGTCATTAGAGAGAATGGAAAAAGTAAAGACAGGGAAGGTATAAATCTGAAAAGGGGAAGGGAACCCGGGGTAGGGTCGCCCTCGAAAAGGTTTGGAGGGGGGGAAAAAAGAAGGTGTTGTGGGCGGGGGTTTTGGACTTCCACTAGCATGCTGAGCATGTTGAAGGAGTAAAAGGGAACGAATGGTATTTGGGCCCTGAAAATTTTGGGGGGGTTTAAAGCAGGGAATTTTAGTGAAGGGGATTGGGGGAAACCGGGTATTTTATTAACTGGATTTGAACCCTGGAAATGGGAAGTAAATCCCTGCATTTTAAAGGGGGGGTTTTTTGGGATATTGGCATTTGGAGGAATTTTGTGCACTTTATACGTATAACTTCAAAACTGTTGGTTCTGAGCACCTCTGCAAAAACGTGATTATGTGTGGTGAAGGAAAGTGTTGAATGATGATGAAAGTTTTTTCTTTTGGGGATTTTCTTTTTTTTTTTGGGTCACCCTCCCCTCGGTGAGAACCCAACTTGTTGAAAAAAAAAAAATTTTTATCCCCCCCCAGATTTAAAACTCTTTTTAATTATTGTCTTATAATTTTTAAAAAATTTTTATTTCCCCTTTTGTACATTTTAGGTTATTCCTGAATGGGGAGATATCAGTTTTCTCTCCTCTCTCCTCTCCCCCCTTTTCCTCTCCCTCCTCTCTCTCCCCCTTTCCCCCCCTCTTTCCCTCCCCCCTCCCTCCCCCCCTCCCTCTCCCCTCCCTCTCTCCCCTCCCCCCCCCTCTCCCCCTCCCTCCCCTCCCCTCCCCCCCCCCCCCCTCTCCCCCCCCTCTCCCCCTCCCCTCCCCCTCCCCCTCCCTCCCCTCCCCTCCCTCTCCCCCTCCCTCTCCCCTCCCACCTCCCCCCTCTCTCCTCCCTCTCCCCCCCCCCCTCCTCCACCCCTCCCCCTTTCCCCCCCCCCCCCCCTCCCCCCCCCCCCCCCCTCCCCTCCCCCCCCCCCCCCCCCCCCCCCTCCTCCCCTCCCCCCCCCCCCCCCCCCCCCCCCCCCCCCCCCCCCCCCCCCCCCCCCCTCCTTCCCCCACCACCCCCCCCCCCCCCCCTTTTCCCCTCCCCCCCCCCCCCTTTTTCCCCCCCCTCCCCCCTCCCCTCCCCCTCCCCCCCCCCCCCTCCCTCCCCCTCCCCCCCCACCCCCCCCCCCCCCCCCCCCTCCCCCCCCCCCCCCCCCCCCCCCCCCCCCCCCCCCCCCCCCCCCCCCCCCCCCCCCCCCCCCCCCCCCCCCCCCCCCCCCCCCCCCCCCCCCCCCCCCCCCCCCCCCCACCCCCCCCCCCCCCCTCCCCACCCCCCCCCCCCCCCCCCCCCCCCCCCCCCCCCCCCCCCCTCCCCCCCTCCCCCCCCCCTTCCCCCCCTCCCCCCCCCCCCCCCCCCCCCCCCCCCCCCCCCCCCCCCCCCCCCCCCCCCCCCCCCCCCCCCCCCCCCCCCCTCCCCCCCCCCCACCCCCCCCCCCTCCCCCCCCCCCCCCCCCCTCCCCCCCCCCCCCCCCCCCCCCCCTCCCCCCCCCCCCCCCCCCTCCCTCTCCTCCCTCCCCCCTCCCTCTCTCCCCCTCTCTCCCTCTCTCCCTCTCTCTCTCCTCCTTCTCTCCCCCTCCCCTCTCTCTCCCTCTCTCTCCTCTCTCCTCTCCTCTCTCTCTCCCTCCCTCTCTCCTCTCCTCTTCCCCTCTCCTCTCCTCACTCTCTCTCCTCTCTTCTCCCCTCCCCCTCTCTCTCCCCTCTCTCTTTCTCCCTCCCTCTCTCCCTCTTTTTTTTACACAGGGTTTGACAAGGTTAAGGATCCTTAGCTTTATTGACAAGCTATTTACAGGTTAAGGATTCCTAACTTTATTGGCAAGCTAAGAGCTGTTACCTACATCAGCTCATTTGAAAGCATTTTATTGTTATGAGACATACAAGTAGGGAACAGGATGAAGTTGGAGCCATCTGTGGGCCAGCATTTTCATTTGATCAACTGGCTTCATCTCGTTGACATCATTATGCTGTACGAATGTGTTTCATACTCGAGTCATCCTGGGTATATATGATCTCAGATGGAGTGATGTCTGGAGAAGGGTATAGCCAAGTGAAGTTGTTTCTTTCTGCCCTTTCTTGTGGAATAAAAGCTTTTTTTCTCGCTGCCTCGAAGTGGATCCAAGTGTGGTACCTTGACAATATTGGCCTTGTACATAACAGTAAGGCCACCCACATCCTTTCCTATGTTGAAGGCTCTGCTGAAATGAAAAGGTCTATCCAGGATGGTCCAGGCGAGAGATGAGACGTCTTGCTCTGTTCTCTACTCTGCAAGCAGTCCCCAGATAGAAGGGGGGCAGGCAAACCAAGAAAGTGGAGCATACTCAAGGTGTGAGGGTACTTGTGCCTCGTACAGAATCTTGCAACCCCTGCTGTCCAGCAGATGTGAGATACAGCGAAGTGCTGTAAGCTTCCTGGCTGCCTTGTTTGCAAGATTTACAACATGGTTTTTCATGGTCAGTTTGGAGTCAGATTTCACCCCAAGGATATCAACTTCTTCCCCAGGTGCCAACACCCTCCCATTCATGCTTACTACTGCACTGGCATTACCATCTTGGTGCCTAGAGATCGTCATTATTTGCATTTTCTCAGGTGCAAATGTTACTTGCCATCTATTTCCCCAAGCTGATATAGCTCTTAGCTGGTGATTGATGTAGCTTAGAGCAGCTGGCATTTCTTCTCTTGGATAAGTGAATGTCAGTGTACAGTCATCTGCATATGCATGGGATTCTGGGATGAGATGAAGAAGGTCATTGAAGTAGACATTCCATAACAGTGGTCCCAGAGCACTTCCTTGTGGAACACTTGCCCCAATAGGATGTCTTGCTGATTCTTTTCCATTGAGAACTACCCTTTAGAGATCTACCATGAAGGTAATCACTGAGGAGACATAGCGTAGAGCCTGCAGTTCCCAGAGCTTGCAGTTTTACTAAGAGGCCCTGGTGCCACACCCAGTCGAAAGCACCAGCAATGTCCAGTGCTACCACACAGCTGACTTTGGATTCATCCAGTGACTGGTGCCACTTGGTAGAGAGGTTTAACAACAGATCACCAGCAGAGTAACCTTTCCTGAAGTCAAACCATACCCCGGCCGGGATTGAACCCGCGGTCATAGAGTCTCGAAACTCCAGCCCGTCGCGTGAGTCATGTTGACGGCAGTGAAGGGACTTGAGCTAGAGTTCGTCACGGCCACGCTAGCTGGAGATTCCTCTGTAAAAACTTGCATTTGTGGTCACAGTGGTGCCTGTGCTAACCTTCCTATGGTGTAGAAATATACCTAGTTGGACGAATCTTATTGTGGCTAGCTGGTCTAGTGGCTAACGCGACGGGCTGGAGTTTTGAGACTCTATGACCGCGGGTTCAATCCCGGCCGGGGTATGGTTTGTTTGCAATCGTGTCATTACGATTTCGTGAGTCATGTTTTCCTGAAGTCATATTGACAGTCACAAAGTAGTGAGTGGTAGTCAAAAAACTCATTTGTCTTGAGATTATTGTCTCAAGGAGCTTGCCAGTGATTGACAGGAATGACACTGGTCTGTAGTTGCTGATTTCTGCTCTGCTCTTCTTTTTGTGAACAGGGACTACATTTGCCTCTTTCCACAGAGAAGGCCATTTACACTGTACTAGGCAGTACTGAAAGATGCGACTTAGAGGTGCTGCTAGCTGGTCTGCACATCTCGGTAATCTTGGGCTCAACTTGTCTGGGCCCACAGCCTTTTGTTGGTCAGGCGATTTAAGAAGGAAGTGCACCTCTTCCTGCTTTATTGTCACCATTGACAGTTTTGACACAGTTCTTGCAGCTAGCCAAGGAGGGTCCCTTGCTGGATCAGGAACTTGCATTTTGGTAGCAAAGTGTTCGGCAAAGAGGTCCGCTTTCCCTTGACTACTAGTAGAGGTGGTCCCATCCTGTCGATTTAGAGGTGGAATGAGTTCATCAGGCAGATAACCTTGTCTGTCCTTGACCAGGGACCACCAGGTTTTGGAACCTCCCCTACCTGATGCTAGCTTTCTTCTTGTGTCCAGCTCCCATGTAGCGATGGCCCACTTTTGAACGTCACCCATATGCTTACTGTGCAAGTTCCTGTTGTAGGTGGTAGGATGTCTCTTATACCTTCGCCATGCTTGTACTTAGCAGTAGCAGCCTCTTTACAACAAAAGCCAAACCAAGGCTGATCTGTAAGCTTCGTCACATATTGCTGGTGAGGAATGTGTTCTTGTTGTAGATTAAGGATGTGTCCAGTGAAGGCTTTCACTTGGTTGTCAACATCCCCTTGGAGAAGAGCATTCCAATTGGTGGTGGCGATCTATAATATATATATATATTCTCTCTCTCTCTCTCTCTCTCTCTCTCTCTCTCTCTCTCTCTCTCTCTCTCTTTCTCTCTCTCTCTCTCTCTTTCTCTCTCTCTCTCTCTCCTTTCTCTCTCTTCTCTCTTTCTCTTTTTCGTCTTTCTCTTTTCTCTTTCTTCCTCTTTCTCTCTTTCTCTCTTTCTCTCTTTCTCTCTTTCTCTCTTTCTCTCTCTCTTTCTCTCTTTCTCTCTTTCTCTCTTTCTCTCTTTCTCTCTTTCTCTCTCTCTCTCTCTCTCTCTCTCTCTCTCTCTCTCTCTCTCTCTCTCTCTCTCTCTCTCCTCTCTCTCTCTCTCTCCTCCTCTCTCTCTCTCTCTCTCTCTCCCCCCCCTCCTCTTCCTCTCCCTCCTCCTCTCTTTCCTCCTCGTGGTGTGAATGTCTCTTTTCAGATGGATAGAACCATACTGGATAGTTCCATCTCTCAGAAACCAGATTTTTACAAGAGATAACATGTTTCCTTTCTTCATGCGGATTATCTTTATGTGAATTCAGTATTATTCAGTGTCTTAGTTCTGTCAGTTATGTGATATTCAGCATCCGTCTCATTCAGCCAGTTTATCTGTCAAAGCACATTAATGATTTTTTTTATGCAGAATTAAGTGTTTATGGATTGAGTGAGCTTAGTATAGTTGCCATGGGCTTAAAGTACATCTGCAGCATGAAACAAGGGACTTCCAATAATTAATTAATTTTTTTTTTTACTAAGTCAAAGATAGATTTAAACACGAATGTCAGGTTATTCTCAATTATATATATGCTAAGGCCCCTGTTTTTAACTCAACTGCCCCCCCCCTTCCTTTTTTTTTTTTAATGCATTCCAATGGTTAGTCTTTGTGAGAAGACTCTCTTGTTTCCTTGGGGTTGTCTTTTCATATTTTGTGTGTATACATACATGCGTGTTCATGTTTACACAAGTAACATCAGTGAAGATAATCTCTCTGTTTTGGCTAGATCAGTTTGAAATTTTATGTGTTATTAACATTAGATGTTTTTTATATACAGTATACATTCATAAATCAAACATATGCAGATCAGGGGTGAATTCACACATGTTTTCTTTCTAACAGCAACGCCAGATTATTGAACAGCAAGAGCAAAGAAGACAACAAAAAGAGCAGGTTGAAAAGGAAAGAGCAAGACAAGAAGCAGAACGAGATCGTGCGCGCTTGGAGGAAGAAGCACTAGAGAGAGCCATGGAGCAGGCTAAAGAAGCAAGAGCTACTCAGGAACTGCAGAGGTTGGTGGCCTGATACATTGTACACATGTCTGTCACTCTAGGACTTTCTTGCTTTTGTCCACTTACATATATAGGGGCTACTTGCATCCAGTAAATATGTCAAGCATTTCAAATACTGCAGATAGTCATGGGTAAGTGATTATGATTTATTGTACTCTTGTACTTGTTAGGTAATTTTATACATAGTAGTGTGACTGTCTTTGTTCATGCATATGATTATCTTTTTGTAGGTAGAGAAACAGAGCTAAGCTTGTGATTGTCTGTCTTCAGTATAAAGTCCACCAGAAAGTGTTCTTCAAGTTTCCAGCAGTTGTAATACTTGCTGCCTCTTCTTGGTAAAGAGGTGCAAGCATTTATGTGGAACCTTCATTTACAACAATTTGCCCACACAGTGGCTTATATAAAATTAAAAGCAGGTAAACCTTGTAAGGAAGAGTGAGAATACATTCATTACAGTGAGGAAACATACAGTAGCTCATAGCAAAACAGAAGTCACACCACATTGATTCCCAAATATTTTATAAGTTTTCTGACAAGAGGGTCAGTTAAACTGTATAAACAGTCATTATAGGTGTGAGAATTATGATGCGTTACTGATAATACAATAGGCTGTGCCCGCCGTGCCTTGTTGTGCTCCATGTTTTTTCGTGTTTTCTCGGTCTCTCTTACGTGCTAGAACTTAAATTTGTGCCACCGATCTTATACGATACATCCCTCTAGCACTTGAAACCAATCTTGGGGAGAAAATAGTTCATACTGAATCATAAAGGAGGATTAGTGTACAGTACCTAGCAGAGTATACTCCCAGAGGGGAATCATAGGCCTAATGTGCCGTGTGCAAAATAATAATAATAGAAGTTACAGGAAAGTGGGTGCGGGAGGGAAGAGGAGCGATTGGTGGAATGATGATGTAAAGATAGTAGTAAGGGAGAAAAGTTAGCATATGAGAAGTTTTTACAAAGTAGAAGTGATGCAAGGAGGGAAGAGTATGTGGAGAAAAAGAGAGAGGTTAAGAGAGTGGTGAAGCAATGTAAAAAGAGAGCAAATGAGAGAGTGGGTGAGATGTTATCAACAAATTTTGTTGAAAATAAGAAAAAGTTTTGGAGTGAGATTAACAAGTTAAAGAAGCCTAGAGAACAAATGGATTTGTCAGTTAAAAATAGGAGAGGAGAGTTATTAAATGGAGCATTAGAGGTATTGGGAAGATGGAGGGAATATTTTGAGGAATTGTTAAATGTTGATGAAGATAGGGAAGCTGTGATTTTCGTGTATAGGGCAAGGAGGAATAACATCTTGTAGGAGTGAGGAAGAGCCATTTGTGAGTTTGGAGGAAGTTTGTGAGGCAGTAGGTAAAATGAAAGGGGGTAAGGCAGCTGGGATTGATGGGATAAAGATAGAAATGTTAAAAGCAGGTGGGGATATAGTTTTGGAGTGGTTGGTGCTATTATTTAATAAATGTATGGAAGAGGGTAAGGTACCTAGGGATTGGCAGAGAGCATGCATAGTTCCTTTGTATAAAGGCAAAGGGGACAAAAGAGAGTGCAAAAATTATAGGGGGATAAGTCTGTTGAGTATACCTGGTAAAGTGTATGGTAGAGTTATTATTGAAAGAATTAAGAGTAAGATGGAGAATAGGATAGCAGATGAACAAGGAGGCTTTAGGAAAGGTAGGGGGTGTGTGGACCAGGTGTTTACAGTGAAACATATAAGTGAACAGTATTTAGATAAGGCTAAAGAGGTTTTTGTGGCATTTATGGATTTGGAAAAGGCGTATGACAGGGTGGATAGGGGGGCAACGTGGCAGGTGTTGCAGGTGTATGGTGTAGGAGGTAGGTTACTGAAAGCAGTGAAGAGTTTTTACGAGGATAGTGAGGCTCAAGTTAGAGTATGTAGGAAAGAGGGAGATTATTTCCCAGTAAAAGTAGGTCTTAGACAAGGATGTGTGATGTCACTGTGGTTGTTTAATATATTTATAGATGGGGTTGTAAGAGAAGTAAATGCGAGGGTCTTGGCAAGAAGCGTGGAGTTAGAAGATAAAGAATCACACATAAAGTGGGAGTGGTCACAGTTGCTCTTTGCTGATGACACTGTGCTCTTGGGAGATTCTGAAGAGAAGTTGCAGAGATTGGTGGATGAATTTGGTAGGGTGTGCAAAAGAAGAAAATTAAAAGTGAATACAGGAAAGAGTAAGGTTATGAGGATAACAAAAAAATTAGGTGATGAAAGATTGGATATCAGATTGGAGGGAGAGAGTATGGAGGAGGTGAATGTATTCAGATATTTGGGAGTGGACGTGTCAGCGGATGGGTCTATGAAAGATGAGGTGAATCATAGAATTGACGAGGGGAAAAGGGTGAGCGGTGCATTTAGGAGTCTGTGGAGACAAAGAACTTTGTCCTTGGAGGCAAAGAGGGGAATGTATGAGAGTATAGTTTTACCAACGCTCTTATATGGGTGTGAAGCATGGGTGATGATTGTTGCAGCGAGGAGAAGGCTGGAGGCAGTGGAGATGTTATGTCTGAGGGCAATGTGTGGTGTGAATATAATGCAGAGAATTCGTAGTTAGGAAGTTAGGAGGAGGTGTGGGATTGCCAAAACTGTTGTCCAGAGGCCTGAGGAAAGGTTGTTGAGGTGGTTTGGACAAGTAGAGAGAATGGAGCGAAACAGAATGACTTCAAGAGTGTATCAATCTGTAGTGGAAGGAAGGCGGGGTAGGGGTCAGCCTAGGAAAGGTTGGAGGGAGGGGGTAAAGGAGGTTTTGTGTGCGAGGGGCTTGGACTTCCAGCGAGCATGCATGAGTGTGTTTGATAGGAGTGCAAATGGCTTTTAATACTTGACGTGCTGTTGGAGTGTGAGCAAAGTAATATTTATGAAGGGATTCAGGGAAACCGGCAGGCCGGACTTGAGTCCTGGAGATGGGAAGTATAGTGCCTGCACTCTGAAGGAGGGGTGTTAATGTTGCAGTTTAAAAACTGTAGTGTAAAGCACCCTTCTGGCAAGACAGTGATGGAGTGAATGATGGTGAAAGTTCTTCTTTTTTGAACCACCCTGCCTTGGTGGGAATCGGCCAGTGTGTTTAATAATAAAAAAAAAAAATCTGTCAGAGGAAAGAAAGTCTCCCTGATAATATTGTGTATACTACAGTGGCACCCTAGTATATAGATAATAAATGCTAAAGTGTCATTTAAAACAGGTGTAATTGAAACTGAAGTGATAGGCCTAAAAAGGCAGTTGCCAGAAACTTACCACACAGGTCAGCTGTTTTAATAATCTTCCTGGCCTGCTAGTGTACCTCGATATAATCTAGTGATACCAGTGAATAGGAGAATACAGTGTTGTAGTAGCAACTAACCAGTAATATAATGGTACTTAGTGGAGTGGAGTGACTTTCATTAGCTTTTTCTCCATTCTTGAAATACTATACATATACAGTGACATTCATATATCCTGTAATTACCAGCGGTCGCAATATACAAAACGAAAAGCAGATATCACTCCAAAAAAAGCGTCTTTCCTCCAATAATTTCACCAATCAACTATAGTGATGATAAAGCATTTGTTGTGGTGGAGATGGAAAAAACCTAGAAAAGCTATACAGTGATCGATAATCCTTCAGGCTGTAAATAAACGTTGAGGTCTTGACCATTCGTCATTGTAGGTGCTGCCAGCAATCACCGGTTCTTCAACACGCAAGTTATACCTTTGTATCAATCTAATCACACATTACTCGGTTAAATAGTTTCCAGTAGTTCCTTCATGTGTTAGCCCAAATCACCGACCAGATATGTTTTAAATAAGTGACCCACTGATCAGATCCGACTGGTTCCAAACCCTTGACTGGTCTGAACCCTTGACCGGTTTCAAATGGATTCGTTGAACAATAAAGCAGACTGTAAACAGATGGGGTTTTAGGCACCCTTATCAAACACAAAAAATAAATATAAAACAGGAACGTACACCGGTAAGCTGTCCTAATATACAAGTACAGTTAGAAATAGAAGTACAAATAGCCAGATCTTCACTTTAAGGAGGTTATTAGTAGAATATTCAAGGGGTTACTAGCAGAACTATAGTAAATCAACCATTCAAATCACACTGTGAAGCTCTGTGTAGTCTGAAGTAAATCAAACAAACGGGCTTCCTCATGGATTACTTGCCATTTTTGTGAAAATTGGTGTCACGCCCCTTGTGCAGATATCCAAGAACTATCTACAAGCAGTATTAAATCAGGGAAGTGTTTTTGGGTATGCCCAAATGAGATCAATCTGTGGACTAAAATCACATTGGTATTAAAAGAGGATAACATCAAAGCAGCCTTCATAGAAAACCTGGAAGCATTCTATAACAGATGGGAAAATAAAAAGTCTTGGCTGGATGGTATCGCCCTTGGTACTGTCCATGTAGTCAGAAACCGTAAGGCTGGAGGTGATGTCCTGGTAGACAGTAATGGTGAAGCTGGAAGTGCTGTCCTGAGAGGCAGTAATGGTGAGGATGGAGGTGCTGTCCTGGTAGTCAGTAAATGTACGCATGAGGGAATGCATATAAATGACCTCGAGGGAGACAGGAGCTGTAGTGGGGAAACAAGTGTAGTCAAGGACAAAATAAAACCAATATTACATACTAGTAATATCACAGGAGATAGCAAACAAGGGGACTCCACTAGCAATAGTGAGGATATATTACCAGAAAGAACTGGTGAGAGCTCCATTGTTAGTACTAGTGAGGATAGGAATGAGACAGGTAAACATGCACCAACAGGGAATACAGTCACAGAAACCCAAGGCAAACGGAAACCAAGCCTGTGCACATACTATGCACTTGGTATCTGCAGGCATGGGAAATCTGGGAAAACAGATGGGACGTGCAACTATGACTACCCTAGAAAATGCCATGCCCATATGACAACAGGAAAATGCAAACTCACTTCCTGTAAGCTTTTTCACCCTGAAATGTGTCCCTCTTCAGTACAGGAAAGACTGTGCTATAACTTAAATTGCCAG